TTCGATAAGTGTGCTGCTATTTTCTTTTCTTTTCTTTTTTCTTTTTTAGTGGTAGATCCCATCATTTTGTGTCTTAGCATAAGTAGGGGTGTAAATGGGCCAGACTGGCTCAGCCCGGCCTACATTGATCCCGGCCCAGCCCGACCTTTTAGAAAAGTAGAGTAGGCTTAGGCTTATAAAAAAGTTTTTTTAACAAATAGGTCATGGCCAATTTTGTCAAGTCCGGCCTACAGCATTGTAGGCTGGCCTATTTAATTTATTAAAATAAAATAATAAAATAATATTTATTTTATGTGTCAAAGACACAAAGTACCAAATACCAATATCTCTTACTTTTTGTGCTATTTTATTTTATGAAAGGAAAACTTGTCTAATGTCTCCAAATTTTACATGTTGTTGCAGCTTAATAACATGGAGTAATGGGTACCTTGCTGGATTATGATGTTACTGATGAAGATCTTTCAATAATACTCTTATTTCCCTTGTCTCGATGGTGGTTTAAAGATTTTTAGATAAATGACATTATCTTGTAAACTTAATTTCAACATCCGGTAATTGTATTTTTCTTATTTTCTCCATTTCTTTGACTCTATTCCTCTATGATATACATTCTAGGGCTGTGGTATTATGTTGACTTTTTATTGTTTGTCATTTTTTCTTATGAGAAGTACTAGTACATGCATGAATGGAACTTTATTTGCTCTATACAATTATTTTTTTTCTTAGTATCTACAGTGGGAGGCCTACAAGGCCTGTAGGCTATGTCAGACTTTCTTATTTTTAAAAATGGGTCGGGCTTGGCCTACAAATAAAGCCTTTAATAGACCAGTAGGTCAGATAGACTGAATTTTTTTTGACGTAGGTTTGGGCCAAAAAGACCAAAGCCCAACCCAACCCAACCCAGCCCATTTACACCCCTAAACATAAGATATGCTCTTGCTCTTTCTCCTATAACATAAGAATAGACAAACCCTTTTATATTTCTAGTTAAGGTACTCACAATTTAAGACTAAGGGGTAATTAATTACCATTTCTATCTCTTAATGTATAATAATAATCACTACTTTCCAGTCAAAAAAAGAAGGAAAGATACTACTTGAAAGTTTGTAAGTTATAACTTGTTAGATAGAAAATTTGGTAAAGAAAGTAAAAAATATTTGAATAAATATAGCGTAAGTACTTTCTTTCGTTCAAACAAATGCACTATCTAAGAGTTGAATGCAATGCATCAGCCCAATCATTCTTATCATTTTTATAAATTAATTTCTCTTTACAATTTTTAATGTAAATTATTGAATAAAACCGTCATTGCAATAGAAGTTTTTTTAATAATAAAAATTTGATAATTTTTTCAACTATATTAACAGTGTTACTGCCTACATAAAGTATACTATATATATACACTAATTTTAAAGACTGAATTTTACCAAAAGAAAAAAAAGACTGTAAAAGAAAAAATGAAATGGATAAATAGAACTCATATTTTATTTTTATTGTTAAATAATACAATAAACATTTATATCCATTATTTTTGGGTACACTAACATTTATATCCATTTATTCATAAAAGTTTTGGTTCCTGGTCTGAGTGCTGTCGGTAGCAAATTGCGCCTTCTTGCTTCTGCTTTTAGGTTCTCTAATTTAAATAACGGAATAGGCTATTAGCAGCCCATAAACTTTTATGATTTATTAAAATAAATCAATTGTGAAAAAGATAAAAAATATCCATATTAAAATACAAGGTGGGAAAAAGAGAATCATTTATTTGTTTATCAACTATTAATCTTTCGCTTTACCTGATGATATCAAATCATATATATATATATATAAATAGGGAAAAACTACTCTTATGCAACATAAGAGTAGTTTTATCTCCTACACACTCATCGAAAATCATGACACTTCTTTTTTTTCTTTTTCTTTTTTCTTTAAATGGCGGACCCCACCATATGTATCTCTACAACATGAGAGAAGATCTCTCATGTAACATAAGATTAAATGAACCCATATAAATAAGAGGATTCATTCCCAATGCCCGAAACAATTGGTGCTAGCTGTTACGGTCTGTGAATAAAAAAATAAGTTTTAAAATTTAAAAATATAAAATTTAGTCAAACATAGAGGACCAGATTAAAATAACAAAAGATTCATCTCCAATTGCCATGTGAACGAGACTACCCACCATTTTTCGTGCTTGCTTTCCTGGTTCAAATTAGCTCTATGTAATCACACATTTTGTCTTTTTCGAGGAGTCATTGCCTTAGTTTAACTATTTATTTATTTTATTAACCAAGAGTACTTGTAATCATGTATTAGGTGTTTTTTTTTATGATTTATATTTTATCAGCAAAAAAAAAATAAAAAATTTACATGACTCTTAGATTTTTTTTTTTTTTTTTTTTAAATTCACACTATCATCTAATCCTGTATTCATACGTCGTCATATGATTTTGAACATAGAATAAGTATTAATTAAATCGCATGTTTATTATTTTTATTTTTTTTCTATCAGTTTTAACGTATTAGATATTCCAGGATATGCATATCCTATTGATACCAAATCGAATATCTAGTATGGTAAAACTGACAGAAAAAAGTGCAAAAGAATGAAATGTTGATTTGTGATTTATAGTTGGTATATTTTTACTTTTTATTAAATTACCCTGTCTAGAAGAATTGACACATATAAAATATATCGCGTGATACGAAATCAGCTTGTTTAAAATATCACCAATGCATTTCAAACTCTAAGTTATCCCTAGTTTTTCTAGAAGAAACAAATAAAAAAAGCAACTCTAACTTGTTTATTATTTCATGTCTGCTTAATGTTCAGTTATAATATATAGGTAAAAGAAAAAGTATGCATGAATGGTTTCCTTGATGGCAATGTCATTGATAACGCTCTTGATATATAATTGAATTTGACTATTTATAAAGCCGGATAAGCATGGTCATAAAAAGTTAGATTATCCTTAATATATTTTGTATGCGCACGAGGTTTTATTCACAACTCTGCAAATGTTTGATTTTTTTCATCTTCATTATTTTAATTTTAATTAGGAAGAATTACAGACAATACATTAAAAAAAAAAAGTCAGAATGGGAACCCTGTTTCTGGCCTGCAAAGTTTGTTTTCAACATACACTTGCCATGGTCTATTTGAAATACATATTTAAAATATTGAAAAGCATGTTCATAACTTGTTAATTTGAATATAGTCTATTAAATTTATATGAAGCTGTATTGTTTCAATTATTTTCATTGAAAAATTTATTTTCAAGGTATGTACTTTTTCTTAAGATTTGTCTCAAACTAATGATAGTGTATCAAATGCAGTGTAATAGACTGGGGAATCGTTTTTTTTTTTTGACTCTTAAATGAAGTAGAAATATTGGTTTATGTTTTATTTGAGTTAAACCAATCTTATGATGGTTGTGCGCAAGTGCTATATAATGGGCTTCTTTCGCAGATATATTATATAGTGATTATTACGTGCAAATTAAGTCAGAATAATCTTTTCATTAATTGTGTATATACATCTCATTTAATTATATTTGAAATGTTATATTTATAAACTATTACAAATTATAGTATATCTTACTGGTAATATATTATTGAATTTTGAATGAAGTCTTACCAGGTATAATTTATAAATTTATAAATAAAAAATTTATAAATATAACCCTCCTTTAAATATATATATGATTTGCCATTGTTTATACTATGGAAAAGTCAACAGCAAGTGATTGTGATCTTATTAATCATCAAAAGTTACTCTATTACTTACCATTGATATATGGAAAACGTAAGTGCTGATAACAGGTTTTTGGGTATTTCTTTTTCCCATTTAAATAACATGTCTTTATCTACCCAAAAAAAAAAAAAAAAAAAAAAATCATTTTTTTAAATCTAATATTCTATTTAATTGTTAATAGTTAAAATGTTTTAGATGGACAGAAAATGAAAAATATATACTATTTTTTCTTCTTTGACTTAGCAGGGAGACTAATTCCACAAGATGAAGTTAGTCGTCAGGTAAGTTTCTTTACCAGGTGGGTCTCAAGAATTCAAACCCGTAAAATTGCAGGTAAAGGTCTCCTGGATTTATAATTCTCTTTCTCTGCGACCATCATGTTTTTTGAAAAAAGGTATTATTACATAAAGATAATTTCTGAAAAAATAAGTTATATTGAATTCTAAATAATATTATTTTTTCTTACATTTGTATTACTTTAAAAGTTAATTTGGTACAAATGTTTAGGTATTTAACATTGCTTGAATAAAAATTGTAGCAATGATCTCAACCAGCCAGCTTTAGGTGCGAGAATCTAATTACCTCACAAGAAAAGTTAAAATAATTTTTAAAATCTTGTTAATATCCTTGAATGAAAAATAATAATAACAACTAACAAGAACAATTGTAAAGCACTCATTTTGTGGAAACTAAAAAAAAATAAAAAATAAAAAACTTTGAAATAGAAACTCCTTTCTCCTTTTCAACGAGATGTTCTAGATTTGTCAACCGTCGTAACTCATAACCCTTCGAGAAATTTGTCATGAAAGAACAGAAAATAGACTGAAGACCAAGTCCATTAGTAGTCCCTTCCATAGAACAGAAAGTACTCTATTGCCCCTCATTTATATCATTAATTTTCATTTAATTCTAAAATTACAAAGTGGCAAACTATGTAAGTATATTATAAAGCTTACTTGCTCTAACATTAATACATGTTCAATAGTAGTTTATGAAAATATTATTTCTTCTTTTACTTAAATTATCGAGGTGTTAAAAAATACCAATAAAATTAAAATAATGTCACGCAAATCATGATGGTAAGTAAAGTCGAGAATCTCACCCCTCTCGTATTAAAGAAAGAAAAAAAAAAAAAAAAAACTCACATTGACATAATGTTCACACTCTCTTACCCGGTCATCCGGTCACCCTCACCACCATATATCTAACCCCACCCCTCAACCGTTTACACTTCCAAAACCGCTTCTCTTCAATCACAAATCATATTCCTCCTTCTTCTCATGACATTCTGAGTTTCTATTCACGTTAACCTTAATTTCTCCGAAAAAAATGGCCGTGGAACTCATGGTGTTCCCGAAACTCGACGAGCAAAAGGCCATACAAGAGGCTGCATCGGAAGGCCTCAATGGCATGGAGCACCTGATCCGAATCCTCTCCCATCAACCAACTCACTTAAACACAGACCTCACAGACGGCACCGTTTTAAAGTTCAAAAAACTCATCTCCTTGCTAAACCGAACCGGTCACGCCCGGTTCAGGCGAGCACCGGTTCACCGCTCCTCTTCTTCGCCTACCACTACCTCATCCTCCTCCCTCCCTCCGCTGCCGCAACTGCAAGCGTTGAACATATCTCCGCCGCCGCAGTTCACTTCTCCGGCGCCGGTGGCCGTCCACCCCGCTCCGGCGAGCTTCGTCCCTGCGCAGCCGCAGAGCTTGACGCTCGATTTCACGAAGCCTAATAATCACATCTTGAGCTCTAATGCCAAATCAATGGAGCTCGAGTTCTCGAAGGAGACGTTCAGCGTCTCCTCGAATTCATCTTTCATGTCCTCCGCCATCACCGGAGACGGCAGTGTCTCCAACGGCAAGCAGGGATCGTCGATCTTCCTGACGCAGTCGGCAGCGCCGGCAGCGTCCGGCGGAAAACCTCCGCTGTCATCGGCGCCGTTCAAGAAAAGGTGCCACGACCATCGAGCTCACTCCGACAACATCTCCGGCTCCAGCAAGTGCCACTGCATCAAGAGAAGGTACAGCGCGCTTCACCGAATCATAATTTCTCAATATTTTCCCATCATTACGAGTTGTTGACTCCTGGGCTTAAAAAATTAATAATAATAATGTAAAAAAAATAAAAATAAATTGTTGAACTGTTAGAAGATATTTTTGTTTTTTCAACTAATCACGTGACACTGTCGCGTGGGTGGGTGGGTGGGTGGGGCTAGGCCGTGTTTGGGAGTCAACGATTTTGGTAGTGGTGCAGTTAAAATGCATTAAATGGGGAAAAGCACGCGTGACAGTGACAAAACAACATAGGGTTCTTGTGTGTCTAATGATGCCTTTGTCGAGACGCGAGTTTTTAGAAATCGCTGTCTAACAAAGAAGACTGAGAGAAATTCAAACTTTGCCAAACTGAACCTTCCTTTGGTTTTATTTTTTTAATATTAAATTGTTTCATCCTTTCTTGACTTATTTGATTAAGGTCAGATTTAAAATTTACTTTTTAAATTCTTTTCAAAAATAATATTAAATCGAATGGAAGTTAATCTTCTTGTCTGAAAAAGTGACGATGAAATAAGAGGAAAAAATATATAATTTTTAAATTAGTGTTATGATTAAATAATATTACCACACGATTACTTGTTGACGTGAAAAAATTCACTCCCAAATCAAGTACATGTTCCAATCAACCAAGTGAATTATTACCATTAGGTACTTTGATCCTCTTTTGATTGCTTTGACTGTTGACTTCTCATTAATATAGCGCATCCGCACCCCCAGCGCATTTTAGCAAACACCAGTGCGTGCATCAATGCATTATAGTTCATTTATTTTTTTATTTTTGAATTAAATAAAAATAACACTTTTTAATTTGTGTTCAGGAAAAATCGGATGAAGAAGACTGTGAGAGTGCCGGCGATTAGTTCGAAGATCGCCGATATACCTGCCGACGAGTACTCGTGGCGAAAATACGGTCAGAAACCTATCAAGGGATCGCCGTACCCACGGTGAGTGATTTTGATGATTGATATGTTTGTAACCGTTGATCGTGTTGACTTTGGTGAAAGACTTGTTCACTGACGTTGATCTTATTTTAATTTTTTTTATTTTCAATCAGAGGCTATTATAAGTGCAGTACGGTGAGAGGGTGCCCAGCGAGGAAACACGTGGAGCGTGCACCGGATGATCCGGCGATGTTGATCGTGACGTACGAAGGGGAGCACAGGCACACGATTCATGCCGCGATGCAGGAGAACGCAGCCGGGGTTGTGGGTTTGGTATTCGAGTCAACGTAGAGAGGGTGGAATAATAAATAAAAAAAGGAAAAAAAAAGGTTGGGAGTGGAGGACTTTTATTTAAAAAATATTTTTTTTTGTAGGAAAAGAAAAATATTGAGTGTGAGTTAAGGTGGGGGCACCGTTTGTAAATTTGCTTTGATTTGTTATATTATAGTGATCGAAAAAACTGGAATCTAAAGTAAAGTCTATCTCCTCGCCAATGTCTTGCAAGTTATGATTATTTTATGATTTCGTATTGGGAGAAGGTGGTATCCGATGAAGGTCACTCAATTGGTATTATTATTATTATAACACATGAAGTCGTAGTTGTTAATGATTATTTTTTATTTGTCTTATACTGGTTAACAAGTCATGCAATCAAATAGCATAGACTGTATAATTTTTTTAAAAATAACAAATAATAATAGTTATTGTACTACTTTCTTTCTTTTTCATTTTTATGTGCCTTGAAAGGTTATAACTTGCAATTTCTAATAGGAATTCAAACTATTGGTAAAACGTGGTCAAATAGAATGATATAACTTTAATCTTTGCACCTGACCAGTAATAAGCAAATTAGTTTGACTAAATTTATATGGTGAATTTTAGGTTAAATTATGCTACACGTCTTAATAGGTTAACTTCTTTTTGAAATCAATACTTTTTATTTTAAAAATTTCTAATCAAATTTTCATATTTAAGAAAATTTATATTTAATAATTATCGAATTTTATAATTAGGTCTCTGAATCTTATAATAACAACATTAAATGAGACAGTTGTAAATATTTATAAATAGAGTTTTTTTTTTTATAAAAAAATTTGTTAAGGCAGCTGCCAGCTGCCCACACCTCCTTTATTATTTTATTTTTGAAACATACTGCTATATTATAAAAATGAGAGATCAACCATAACGTTGACAATTTCTTGCTAATGGAAATCATACGAAACCCACCCACCACTGTTCAAATTTATGTAGCTATTTAGTTTTGATCTTAATAATGTTAGGAAGTTGTTGTCAGCATGTCATTAGACAAAATGCTTTTTTTTTTGGTAAGCGATAAAATGCCTTTTATTTAATCCTCTTCTTATTTCATAACTTTAAACCTAAGCGATGGCAAGGCCAAAGCCTTATTAACCTTAGGAAATGCCCCTATTTTTAGGGATGATAACGGGCGGAGTCAAATTTGACTTTGGACTTAAAAGATTAAATTTGTATTTAAATGTATTAGCTCGACTTTGTCTGTTATTTATTATGAATATAATTATCGGCAAGTGGCCTGTCTTATTTATAAAAAATAAAAATCTGATTTAGCCTGTTTTAAAAAAAATAAGACAATTTTTTTTATTCAAACAGAATATACGACCCATAGCAGTAATAATTCCACAAAGATTCATAAATTCAATATATATTCAAACAACATAATATAAAGCAAAAGCATTCAAAAAGTGTGTTTAACCGATAAGAAGATGTGAAATGGATTGAGGAGACAGAGAGGACTATTATGAATAGTACAGAAAATATACAATAAAAATAAAGTTAGTTTAATAGGTCAGCCTAAGAATCTCTAAGGCTGAGCTTTTGAATCGGAGCCACGAGACCTTTTTATTAAACAAGCTCTTATACAAGTTTAAGTCCGGTTCCAACAACTAATTTTGTACATATAAACCCAGATCTCTACGAGGTAAAAACTCCTGATTCGTTTATCACTCGATTCACGCTTACCTATTTCCATGTTTCGCCAGCAAGAGGCAAGTTGATTAAAATGGAGAGAAGCATGGTTCCATTTTAAAATACCATACAGTTTCCATAGTTACATAAGCAGGATATACAAACATGTCTCCAGGCTAAAGCATTTTATGGATAATTTATATTAATTTTGTCCTTAAATCAGAGGTTCCATTAAAGACACCCCAATGACCATTATAAAAAATAAATAAATTAATTTGACTTTCTGTTATTAAAAGACTAAATTGCTGTCAACTTTATTTTAAAGAACAAATCGTATCATTAGGAATTTAACGTGGGGTGTTTTACTGTAAAAATCGTCATAATTTAACATTTAAATTTATACTTTTACTTGAAACTTTCATTTTTTTTTTCCACTCAGTTTTCATGAAATAAGAATTTAATTTTTTAAAACACTGCAATTGCTATTACATTTAACTCTTATTTTATTTTATTTTTAAGAAAAGAAATAGAAAAAAGAACTGGAAAATGTAGGAACTGTGATGAGTATACTCAACACTGACGGTAGTTGGGCAATGTAGGAACTGTGAATTATGATGTGTTGAAATCTGATGAACACACATGAGAAAAATGATTTTACCATAACTTTAACAATAAAACGCCCCCAAAAATTGCTTGTAAAATACGATGTTCAAATAGATAATTAAAGCACACAATTTAAATTCACATACAATTTGAAGGGTCCATAATTTGACATATCGGTAGCTAAACTCTTATCTCATGAATTTCACTCATATATGTTGACTTTTATTCTTATGTAATTTTTTTTTTTTGGTACGCTGAGAAGAAAACCCAGCAGAGAAACTACAAAACAGACACTGTTCGAGCCCTACAAACAGAAGCTAAATCAGCAATAAAAACAGACTGAATCTGAAAAGGGGGAAAACAGAAAATAGACATATTAGGAACAATAGGATTGTCCAGAGGGTAATTAGCCAGCCAGTCAGCAACATGATTTCCTTCTCTGTAAGTATGGACAAGCTAAATTCTCCAATCTTTTTGGAACCAAGTCCGTATTCGAGCCACCAAATGGGACTCACGGGCTGCAACACCCTTTCTAGAAAGAATGGTGATTGCAGATGTTGAATCGGATTCAACAATTAAATTTTTCCAGCCTTACTCCCAAGCCATCTCCAAACCTTTAAGAATTCTCCACAGTTCGGCATTTAGAGCATTGCAATTTCTAATACTGTATGAGAAACCTTTAAGCCAGTGACCCTCTTGATTTCTAGCAATTCCACCACAAGCTGCTAAACCTTGAGATGTTCTAGCAGCTCCATCAGTATTTAATTTAATCCAATACTCTTCTGGTGGTTTCCAGCTAATGAAAATTTCTGCTTTGTATTTGACTAATTGATGACAAGAGGCAAATTGAAAAGCCAAATTGGATTCTTCAGCTGTACTAATAACTGTGTTCTTCTTATAGAAATGAGAAGAAACAGAGTTGCTAAAAACTAAATCATTCCTCCATCTCCAAGCCAACCAGCATGTGGTTCCAAACACAATACGCCAAGGGATATTGTTTGTAAACTTGTCCATACAAGATAAATTTTTTTCCAGCCAAACATGAAGATCATCAGTAAAAAAATAACTACCAAATCTGATTGGTACTAATTCAGTCCAAAGCCTTTTAATCTTCACACAGTCCCTAAGCAAATGTAGAGAGGTTTCGGCTTCATCTAAACAAATTGGACAAGAAGATTGGCCTATATCAAAGGAGCTCAATCTATCTTTTGTTGGCAATCTGTTATGAAGAACTTTCCACAAGAACAATCTAACAACTTGGGGACCTTCCCATCTCCAAACCTTTTTCCAAATCTCTGAATTACCATGAGGATCAGAAACGTTACCTGCAAGGGTCTGATAAATGCTTTTTAATGAAATCTGATTTGAGTTATTTAAATTCCAACGCATATAATCTTCTCCATCCTGCTCATTGGGAGGTAAAATGCTTCTAATTGATAACACAATATCAGAAGGAAGCCAACGACGATCAAGAAGTTGAATGTTCCAATTACCCTGATCATCAACATATTCAATAAGCTTTTTATTGCTTTCCTCCCATGGAATTGGGGCTGTAGTCATGTCCATAAGCCTGTTTCCATCTTGAATCGATTTATCCTTCCAAAAAGAAATCCCAGTTCCATTCCCAATCTCCCAGTTGAGGTGATTTTCTAATTTTTTCCATATTGAGCATATGTATTTCCACAATCTAGAATCACCATTTTTGCAGCTAAATAAAGTATTCCCTCTATTCTGACCAGTATATTTAGCTCTAATAAAATGAACCCAGAATTTATCTGGATTAGCAAAGATATCCCAAGCAAGCTTCCCTACAAAAGCATCATTCATGAATATTAACTTTTTCAAACCCAAACCTCCTTCTGTCTTCGGTTTTGTAATAATCTCCCAGCTCACAAGATGCATCTTTTTTTTTCTCCTATGTGTCTTCCCAAATGAAACCTCTCTGCAACTTTTCAATTTCATGACAGATTGATCTTGGGATTTTATCACATTGCATTTGAAAGAAAGGAATAGCCGACAGAACAGACTGAGCAAGGGTGATCCTACCAGCTTGAGATAGGCACTTTGATTGCCAGCCAGTCAACTTACTATGAACCTTTTCAACAATATTAGCATATGCTTCCTTAGACACTTTGTCATGTTTCATCCATACCCCTAAATGTCTCCCTACATTGCGCACCCTCTTAAACCCAAAAGCATTGGTGATCTCAACTGCTACATTGTCTGGAGTATTTTTGGAGAAGAAAATACTAGTCTTCTGTTGATTCACTCTTTCTCCCGAGATATCACCAAACAGTTGCAAACACTTGAGAATAATTTGGATTTGATCTATAGAGGCTTCAACAAAAAGAATTAAGTCGTTAGCAAACATCAAATGGGAAATAGCAGGCCCTCCTTTTCCAGCATGGATTGGTTTCCAAAGGTTACCTTGAACTGCAGCGTTGATAATATGGCTGAGCTTTTCTATTGCAATAACAAAAACATAAGGAGAGAGAGGATCACCTTGCCGGACTCCTCTTGAAGGTTGAAATTCTTTAGACATCTCTCCATTCCAGAGGACATTGAAATTAGCATTAGAAATTGCAGCCATAATAATACTAACTAAATTATCCGGGAACTGCACCTCTTGAAGAATTTTTCTTAACACCATTTTTCTTATGTAATCTTCTTTAACTAACACATAATTTAAACCGATAACGTCCATCATTCAGTCGAAAAATATGAATATACTCTTAAAAAAAAGTTTTTGTTGAAATACCCACTGTGCTGTATACTCATTGAAGCACAAAAATGTGCTAAAAAAAGATCCAAAATCATCTCATAAGGTCCGAGCCCACTTAAAAGATGGAATAGTACACTGTACACCTATTTTTCTACAAACTCCAATCCTCTAACGCCAAGCCCTTCAGGCACTTAATAAACATGTTCCACTAAAAATAGTTATTGCTTCAATGTCAAAAGTGGTTGACAAAGCTTCGCACAACGCAATATTCCACAA